GGTCCAGAGGGATTAAATGGGTAGTGAGTGGCTAATGGAAGATCTGAATCCAGTTGCTTTGGCTCTGTCCAGGGTGCCACATTGTGACTCTGAGACTTACACAGGGTTCCTTAGGTAGCAAGTGGTTAAGTGAGGATTTGAATCCAGTTCCTCTGACTCTGATCAGGGCCTCCAAGACACTCAAAGTTACTAAGGTGCCTTTGGGGACAGGCAGGGTTAGGCTTTCAAAGCAAAAGAAAACAAGCTTTTAACTTAAAAGCAATTGTTTATTTTTCCATTAGACTGTAAGCTCCCTGAGGGCAGGGACTGTCTTTCTTTTTCTTCTTAGTACAGTGCCTGGCACATAGTAGGTACTTAATGTTTATTGAATTGAATCTTAATCTTTTTCTTCCAAAAAGGTGAGAGAAATAATCTAGGTAATTTTCCTCAGCTGCATCTCAGCAGAAGAAAAGGACATTTTAAAGGCAGTGACCCATGCAGTTTGTGCCTCTCAGGATTCCCTCTTGTCCTACAAATGCTACCCAAAGTTACCAAAACTTTGGGAAAAAATATTTTCTCCCCCAAAATATACTGACGGAAAGAAAGTTTAAGTGGTAGATGTCAGGCAAATCATTATAGTTCTCTAGTGCCTCAGTTTCCTCATTTGTGACATGAAAAGGCTTGTATAAAATAACTTCTAAGGTAATTTCCAGCTCTGTGAATTTGTGGCTTTCCAAAAGTTACACACATACTAGTATTGACAAGGAATCTGGAACTTCACTGGTTGGCGTTTATAGCCTTATCTCCTCAGTTAAAGGACTGAAGTATCTTTAAAGTGGGACACACTCCTGCTTTGTGAGAATCCTGAAGATAATGCTTACAGAACTTCCATATAGTGTCTAAACAAACACTCTTCATTTGTCAGGAATGCCTGCAGATGGAGGACGCCAAGCCTAGCCAGGGTCTGGGGAGGTTGGCTTTAATTTAGCTTGTGATGGATGCCTTTTGAAAAGCAGAGGCTCAGACGACAAGCTTGCACTCTCTGGCAGACAAGGATGCTTTATCACTGCTGCCTGACTCTTACTCATAGAAGACAGATGTTTACAAGTTGTAATCATCATTGGGAACTTCCACTGCCATCTAAATAACAACAACAGAATTCAAAATTTTTTCTGCTTTTATTCTATTAATGCTAGTCTCTGACCCTGGAATGAAATTACCTGTAAAACAGCCATTCTAGAGTCAACAAATGCAAGGATGTTCTGCCTGGGGATTAATAATAGCTTGTATTTATATATTTCTTTAAGCCTGGCCAAGTGCTTTACTTACATTTTGTCATATGGCCCTCATGACAACTTTGTTTGGTAGATGCCATAGTTGTCACTGATAAGGAAAATGAGGCCAAGAAGTTAAATGACTTCTGCAAGTCACACAACTTCTAAATGTCTGTGGGAGGAGTCAAACCTGGGTCTCCCAGGTTCTGACCATAACACTCCATTCACCATGTATACTGCCTCTAATTCATTAATATCTTTCGAGTTAGAAGTCTCCCACCTAGAAAGTTACCAACAAGGCTGCCAATGTTTTATTGCCTCAATACACAGAAAGCCAAAAAAAATCTGAAAGAAAAAAAAAAGAAACCACTATCGCCACCCAAGGAGCTATGCTTAACCTTAGTGCTCTACTAAGAGCTGGTATCTACCAAATTTATCATGGTGGTCAGAGTCTGGTTGGGACCTGTTACCCTGCCTTCCTACCACAGAGGAAAGTTTGTGATATTCTATTGAAAACTGAGTCTATTTTGTTGCTTCTATTTCCATGGAAAATCAACAAAAGATTCTGTGTTGTTCTATTTCCCCAAGGGGAAAGCATTCTTATCAATTATTTGGGGTTTATTTTAATGTGAACTTATAGTCTTGCTTCTTGTCCACAAGGTTATGATAAAGGAAACAAACAGAATGCAAGCAAAAGAAAAGGAATAAGTAAATAGTCAGAAGGTATTATCCTTGGCAACTATGCATGAGATTACATGACATAAATCGGTGGTTTCAGAACCGGTTCCCAGGAAACATGACTTGTAGGAATGAGGACAAGTTGTTCAGCAGAGGCAAAACACCTAAAATGGATCTGAAGTCTGCATTTCCAGTGCAGGGAACAGTTACAGGTCAGGAGGCTGGTGGCACTAGAGAAACAGTCTGTCCTGATAGCATGGTTGGTTAAGAGAAACAAGATTCAAAATGATTTGGTTAAATCGTATTTGCGAGCCAAAACCAACAAGATGAAATTTAACACAGAAGAAAAACTCAGCATTTAAGGTTTGAAATAGTGAATTATATAACAGGATGGGAGAAACTGGGAGCCCTTTATATGGAAAAAAAACGGGACAGAAGTTCAGTTAGTCACAAGCTCAATAAGCAACGAAGCATGGCGACAACTACAGGAAAAAAATGAAATAATAGTACACTATGTAATAATTCCACTGCATTCTGTGTTGGTCAAACCACAGTTGGAATACTGCATCTGGTTCTGGCATCACCTTTCAAGAAGTTTCCAAAGCAAGGAAACCAAGATGTTGAGAAATCTTGACATCCTGTCATTAACCAGTATGGCACAGTGGTAGGAGCTTGGGGGTGGGAGGGTGCAACAGACTTTGGTTCAAGTCTGGTTCCACAACTTGTCTGCTATGTGTTCTTGGATGGCTCCCCTCATCTTCACATCCTATCATTCATGTACCTTCTGCCATCATCTCCTCTTCCACTCCTGCCTCGAATGATGAAGGGGCCTTCCTCCTTACCAAGGACAACCCCTCTACCTGCTCAAGCGATCCCATTCCATTTTCCAACAGACTTCCCTCTGTCATTCCCACTCTATCACTTATTTTCAATCTCTCCCCGACCTTCTGGCTCATTTTCTGCCTACAATCATGCCCACTGCCCTCACTTGAGCCTTCTATCACCACTGACTGTTGTCCTGTATCTCTTCTGTCCTCTGTAGCTAAACTTGAAAAATTGTTGCTCAGTTGTGTCCGATTCTTCATGATCCCATAGACCACAGCACAGCAGGGTCTTCTATCCTCCACTATCTCTCAAAGTCTGCTCCGGTTCATGTTCATTGTTTCCATAACACTACTTATCCATCTCATTCTCTGCCATCCCCTTTTCCTTTTGCCTTCAATCTTTCCCAACATCAGGGTATTTTCCAATGAGTCCCATCTTCTCATTATGTGGCAAAAGTATTTTAAGCCAGCTTCAGTATTTGACCTTCCAATGAATAGCCTGCATTAAGTTCTTTAAGTATGGACTAATTTGATCCCCTTGCTGTCCAAGGGACTCTCAAACTTAAAAAGACTAGCTGCTATGGGAGCCTTTGTTTTCTCTCTTTCCACTCTCTTCTTAACCCCTTATCATCCAGCTTCCAACCTTATTCTACTTAAACTGGTCTCTCCAAAGTTAACAATGGTCTCTTAGCTGCCAGATTCAATGGCCATGTCTCAGTTCTCATTCTCCTTGACCTCTCTGCAGCTCTGACACTGTTGGTCACTCTCTCCTCCTTGATCCTCTCCTCTGTAGGTTTTTGGCCTATTACTCTCTCCTGGTCCTCCTCCAATCTCTCAAACTGTTCCTTCTCAGTCTCCTTTGCTGGATCCTTAACCAGATTACACTTTCTATCTAGAGGTGTCCCACAGGGTTCTGTCCTGGGCTCTCTTCTCTTTTCCTTCTATACTAACTTGTGAACTACTTCATTTGTAGAATATTTATCAACTCCTATGGATTTAATTACTATTTCTATGCTGGTGAATCTTAAATCTATCTTTCCTGCCCCAGCCCCTCTGCTGACTTCCAATATGGCATCTCCAACTGGCTTACAGACATCTCCAACCAGATGTCAAGTAGACAGCTTAAAACAAACATGTCCAAAACAGAACTCACTGTCTTTCTCCCTAAACTCTCCCTTCCTCCTATAGTCTGTTTTACTGTAGAGGGTGACATCATCCTCCCAGTCTCTCAGGCTCACAACCTAGAAGTCATCCTGTACTCCTCGCTATCTCTCACAATCTGTTTTGCTAAGACCTGTTAATTTTATTTTTGTAACATTTCTCAAATCGTCCCCTTTCTCTCCTATCTGCCTCAGTTACCTGAACTGTAAAATGGGGATAGTAATAGAATCTGCCTCCCAAGGTTGTTGTGATGATCAAATGAGATAATATTTCTGAAAACATTTAGCACGGTGCTTGGCACATAGCAGGTGTTTAATAAATGCCATTTCTTTCCTTCTGTATCATAGAAGCAGTTAAGTAGCACAGTGGATAGAGCACTGGGCCTAGAAGTTAAGAAGACCCAAATTCAAATACAATCTTAGACATTTAGTAACTGCGTAACCTTGGGCCAGTCACTTAACCTCTGTTTGCCTTAGTTTCTTCAACTATAAAATGAAAATAGCTCCTGTGAGGATCAAATGAGATATTAATTATAAAGTGTAGTGACTAGCACATAGCAGGCATTATATAAATGCTAGTGCTATTATGTATGTATGTATGTGTGTATATATGTATGTATGTATGAGCAACAAATTATGATTATGACAACAATGTTCTCAAATTATCAGTTCAGTTAAATATAAAGATCTGGTGCTGAATTTAAAACGAGTGTGAGAAGTTATGTTGTAGGGGACAAATTCCTATCATTTCACCTTAAACTGTAGTTGCACAAAAAACATTTTTTTCCCAACTAAGTAGGTTTTCTTTCCACAAATCTGGCTTGTATAAAATCTGAGTATAGCCTATAACTGATATTATTTTTCAATATATACCTATGTATATATTTTCCCTTTCAAGGAAATCACATTTTGAGGGATCAGCCTATAACAAGGGGCAGCCTGATTTGGGCCATTATAGTATTTGAAAGAAGGATTCAGCATGAATCTGTCGAAATGTTAAACTTGGCAACAGGCAGGAGCTTTGTGAGGCAAGAGGTAAGAGGAAGAACGATATAAACTGGAGTTTTAATTCTTATTAAACTTACCAAGCAAGGCAGCCCAGTGAAGGGGTGTCCGAAATAAGTTATCATAAGATGTGATGTTACAGCTTTCATAGGAGGTCAAAATGTCGACCACTGTCACATTGCCGTCAGCAACTGCAAAGTGAAGAGGTGTCCGCCCTTCATAATCCTGCCAGTTCAGCAGAGATTCAGTGGGAGCAGCATCCTGTGTTTAAATGAACAGAGAATACTGACTAAATCTTCTGAGTAGGGACTATCTCTTTGCCTTTCTTTGTATCCCCAGTGCTTACCGCGGTGCCTGGCACGTAGTAGGCACTTAATGAATGCTTGTCGACTATTGACTGACACATAGAACTACAAATGCTTTACTGTTTTCCCCTAAAGAGCCTTCTATTAGCCTTTCTTTAGTATCAGCATTAAATAATAATAATAGCAACAATAACAATAATAACTAGTATTGATACAGTGTTTTAATGTTTGCATGTCTAACACTTTAGACATGTTATCTCATTTGACTCTCACAGGTCCTTGAGGTACGTGTTATTATTGCTCCCATTACACACAGATGAGGAAACTGAGGACTTGAGTGAGTGTTATGTGGCTAGTAAAGTTTCCGAGGCAGGATTTGAACTCAGATCTTCCTGATTCCAAGTCCCAAACTGTAGCCACTATGCCACTCAGTTGCTTTTAAGTCTGAAGAACAGAGCTTAAGAACATAATCTCACCCCTAAAACTACTTTATCTTTTCAAAATACAGACCTGGACCTCTGCTGCTGATGGCGTGTGTATGCCCAGGGTGGACCAAGACCCCGTCTGCAGTGGCATGACTGAGGCCATCCCCTGGCAGAACTTCCAAGTGGGTGATCCTTATAATTAAGACATTAGCAAAATAGCTGAAAGATGTAACCCTTTTCTAGAAATGTCTGTCTTTTAAAAATAAAGTTTTCCTGAAGGCTTAAAAACATCAGAATTAATTCAATTCGACAAACACTTATTAATCCCTCACAAATGAAATAATGTATGTAAAGTGTTTTACAAGCCTTGAAGCACCAAAAGAAAATGAAATTTGATTTAACAACAACAACAAAAAAGAGTTAAGCTACTGTTGTGGAGATTGCAGGAGTGTAAGTATTAGATGAAATCCCTGAAAAGCAGATTTTTTAATTCAACCAACATTCATTAAGTAATTACTGGGTAGAGCACCATGGTAAGCACTGGAGAGATACTAGACTTTTAAGTAAGAAATAGATTTTTGCATCCCAAGCTTTTGTATCTCCACCATGCACATGTTGCTGTTTAATTGGTTTAGTTATGTACCATTCTTCATGACCCCATTTGAGGTTTTCTTGCCAAAGATACTGGAGTGGTTTGCCATTTCCTTCTCCAGCTCCTTTTACAGATGAGGAAACTGAAGCAAACAGGGTTAAGTGACTTGCCCAGGGTCACACAGTGAGGAAGTATCTGAGGCCAGTTTGAACTCAGGAAGATGAGTTTTCCTGACTCAGCCCCAGCACTCTATCCATGGTGCCACTTACCAGCTGTCCATCATATAGTAGGTACTCAATAAATGTTTACTTGTTGATCAATCCCTGCCATAATGGAATATACACTCTAGAGTCAAGTGAAGAAACATTTATTAAGTACCTACTATGTACACACGGTAGATGGTTAATGTTGATTGATTGATTGACAGGCACTTAGGCAAAGCATTGGGGATACAAAGAAAGCCCACCCCATCCCTCCAAATGGTCCCTGCTGTTGAGGAGTTCACAGAGTAATGAGGCAGACAACATGAAAACAACTGTATACAAACAAGATACAGGCAGGATAAACTGGAGATGAACAAAAGAAGAAAGTCCTAACATGAAAGAGGTATTAGGAAAGACTTCTTGCACAAGGTGGGATTTTAGATGAGATTTATAGGAAGCCAGAGAAATTAGCAGGTGGAGACAAAGAGGGAGAGAATGCCCAGCATGTAGGACAGTCAGCCAGTCAGTAAAAATGCCTGGAGTCTGGAGACCACATCTTCTGCATGAGGAACACAAGGAAGCCAGCGTCACTGGAATGCAGTCTGCGCAGGGGAGGAAGACAGAAAAACAGCTGCAAAGGGAGGAAGGGGCCGGGTTAGGACACATGCACAGATAGTTATAATACAAAATAATATAGGATCAGTATATATGGCAGCAGGAGAGGCAGAGTGGACTATTGGAAAGCTGACTTTGGAGTCAGGAAGCCCTGAGTTCAAGTTTCACTTCAGACACATCCTGGCTATAAGACCCTGGGGGAAATCAACCTTTAGCTTGAAAGACTCTAAATCACTGATCTGCACTGGGAGTGAGGAGTTTCCTCACTGGGCACTCCTAGACAATGATGAAATCACAGCTCAGCTGGAGAGAAAATGAAGTGGGTAAGAGAGATACAAAGGAAGTGGGTGGGAAGCCTGAACCAAGAAGGGCAGAGAGGCAGAACAGTGTGCATTGGGAATATCAAACAGTTATAGATAACAAAATCTCAGGCTTCCAAGGCATGACACCTTTCCATGGGTTTCAATTAAACTACTCTAAGGAGTTGACATTTTAGTTTTCAAATTTTATATATACACACACATACATGTTTGTATATATATGTATGTGTATATATCTATATATATGTATATGTATATCTGTACACATCTCTCTTTCCTCTCCTGCTGTTTTACCTCCTTCCTCCTGTCCTGATTGGTGACTCTCTCCCTACCATTTTAGGAAGGATCCCAGCCTTCTTTAGGAAGGCCCTCTCCCTCTCCTTCTCTGAATAACTACCCAGTGTACTGTAAACTGTGAGAATCTAGGCTGAAGATTCCTGAAAGAGGATGTGACCACATGAATAGGCCACTAGTCATTTGGCCATGATGATTCTCGAATTTGGTATCAGATCAACGTGAAGATTCCAGAGGACTGATGACGAAGCATGTTACCCACCTCCTGACAGAGGTGATGGACTAAATATACAGAATGAGACATGTTTTTTTTTGGATATGGCCAAATTTATTTGACTATACATATTTGTTACAAGGGTTTCACTTCTCTTTTTCTTTTCTTTTTTTCCCCAATGGAGGGATGATGGGAGGGAGAGAAAATAGAATTTTGTTCATTAAAAGTACATTAAAAAATTTGGAACCAAATATTTCCTCCTAATAAAAAATCACCACAGTCTTCTTCTTCACACAATAGTTCGATGCTGACCCCCATGTGCTCCTAGAGAAGCAAAGGGAAAATATTTTTTTTTTCCCCCACACCTAGGATATCAAGCATCATCCCAAGAATAAAAAGGAAAATAGAGTTCAATGTCATTAACTGTGCTTTAATATCAAAAGAGAGATTTTAATAGAAAAACATATACTCACCAGGATACATCTGACAGTATGGACAGCACTAGGATCTTTGTGGTTAGCTGCCCAATGAAGTGGGATCTTTCCTTCAATATCAGGGATTCCAATATTGGAATCATGTTTTATTAGAAGCTTCACATGCTCTGGGTTATTGTAATAGGCACTCCAATGCAGAGCAGTTTGCTAGAAATGTAAAAAAAGGTATGCATAGGTCTAAAGCTTACATCCATTTATTTTGAAACGGAAAGGCCATTAGACCTTATTTCTGAATAATTACTTTAAAAGAAACAAGCAACTTGCTAACAAATTTAATACATGGTTTATGGCATTTGTGACTTATTACATAAGATCATAGATTTAGCACTAGAAGGGGACACTCAATGGTCATCCAGTTCAACCCTCTCATTTGACTAATGAGGAAACTATTTGCTCAAGACGTTAGTGGATTACAGAAAACCCTTCTCAATAAGACTAAGCCCCTATTTGTGCCTTTGATCTCATTCCTTCTCCTGCCCTTCCCTTCCCCCATTAAAACTTCAGTTCTCCCATTCTACTGACTCTTTCCATTTTGTTTATAAACATGTTCAGGTCTCCAACCATTAGAAAATTTTCACTTGATCCTGCCATCCCCTGAAGCTAATGCCCTCTCCTCCCAGCCCTTGAAAAACTCCTGGAGAGATCTATCTACATGCAATGCTTCCACTTTGTTACATCCCCCTCAATACTTAAATCCTTACAATCTGGCTTCTGAATCCACTCTACTGAAATTGCTCTCTTGAAAGGTCCCAGTGACTTTGCAGTTTCAAAGTCCAGTAGACTTTTCTCAGCTAGTGATCTGCTGGCCATTCTGAGTGTCATGATTGTTGTTGGAACCACAGTCCTCTAGGATACACAAGTTACTGACCATAGTGTCACTCTTGGCTGTCTCCTCTCCTTTATTGCCAATTCTCTGATCTAGCCTTTATCACTAAATGGGTATTGCCATAGACAAACTGAGAAATGGGAAAGACCTTAGCTTAAAGAGGCCAAGGTCTCTTACTGCATCTAGGGCCATCTCCAGTCATCTGGATCTATATCTTGCCACTGGACCCAGATGGTTCCAGAGGAGAAAGTGAGGCTGGTGACTTTGCACAGCCCTGCTTCACTTAAATTCAATTCACTTGCAAGTCATGACATCATCTTCCTGATGTCACAGTCCTCTTCAAGAAAGAAGGACAAACAACCACAATCTCCAATCAGTTTCCAAGTCCTGTTGATTTTATCTGCACAGGACTGCTTAATTCTGCCTCCTTTCTACCCACACACAGGTCCTCACCTCCTCTCACTTGAATGTTGTAATAGTTTATCAATTTGTCTACTTGCATCTAGTCTCTCTGTACGCTAACCCATCCTCTACACAACTGTTCAAATAATCTTCCCAAGGTATAGGTCTCACTATCCCACTCACATAAGAAAAAAAAACAAACAAACCTTTAGTGGCTTCCTTTTTCCTTTAAGATACAATGCAAAATTTTCAGTTTGGATTTTAAGGCCCAGCACAGTGCAGCTCCAATCTATCTTTCCAGCTTTGTTTTAAATTATCCCATTTCACAATTATGTTTCAGCCAAACTGGACTACTAGCTGCGCTTCACAAATGAGAGACATTATTACATCTATCACTTCTATGTATTTGCATAAAGTGAACTAGAAAACATTCCCTCCTCTGATTATCTTCCTCCAAGGCTCAGCTCTGTCAGAGGTAAGATATATGTTTCAGGTATGACCTGACTTCAAGGCTAAGCATCTATCTTTCATGACACACTGCTTCCCTTTAAGAGTATTACATACATACATATATATATATATATATGCACACACACACACACACACACACACACACACACACACACACACACACACATATATATATATGTATTTTGGGGGGGGCTAGGCAATGGGGTTAAATGACTTGCCCAGGGTCACACAGCTAGTTAAGTGTCAAGTGTCTGAGGCCGAATTTGAACTCAGGTCCTCCTGACTCCAGGGCCGGTGCTCTATCCACTGTGCCACCTAACTGCCCCAAGAATATTATAGTTCAATCTTCTACTAAAAATCACCCTGAATAATGTGGTACAGCATATAAAGAAAGTACTGAACCTTGAGTCAGAGAGTTCTGGTTTCAAATTCTACCTTAGACACTTACATATGACCCTAGGCGAGTCACTGAGCCTGTCCCAGCCTTAGTTTCTTAATCTATAAAATGAGGATAACAATAGCACAGAATTGTGAGAATCAAATGAGATATCTACAAAGTCATTTGCAAACCTTAAAGTGCTATATCAATATGAGCTATTACTACGTTAGTGGTAGTTTTTATTTATAAGGTAAATATATATTTATAAGGTAATTATTATTATTACCTTATTTTTATCCTGTGTATCCACTTCTCCTGGTGCCATAAACTTTAAGAGAAGGGCCAAACATTTAGGACTTTTATGTCGGGTTGTTAAATGCAGTGGAGTCATTTCTTCTAAGTCCTTTTGCATCCAGTTTGCTCTACGAGTGAGTAAGAGTTTCATGAAACGATAATTTCCCTAGGAGAAAAAATTGACAGTCACATTGGTAGATATACATTTGCGGACACAGCAACTACATAATCCAACCCTATAGATTTTAGGGACACAGGGGCCAAAGAAGGCCTCCCTAAATAACTCCAGAATCATGGTAAAGTTACCATGGTAACCATGGCAAAGTACCATTTGGAATGATACCCACTTACAGGCCAGCTAATATAATTTACTTCAGTTAAACTTTCAGGACATATTTGTTAACTGATGATCACTTCCTAAGTGTACTTAGTTTTGTTTTATGTAGGGAAATCAAAATCCCAGTGGTGAGAGAATTAGAATAGGAATAAGGAAGAAGTCTTGTATTTTTTATCTCTTATTCTAGGATGACCTTATCATATTGTACTAGTAAGAGATGCACAGGCACAATTCAAACAATCTCTGCCCTGTCAAAGGACAAAAGAAGGGAGTCTTCCATTGGATGCATCCTTATCCTTCCATAAACACAGGGTAAGAAGAAAGAAATGTTTGCTTGAGGGCCCAAGATTTAAACTTAATGATACTGGATCCAGTTGCTTGGTTTGCTAAAAACAAGCAAAGCAAAACTTTGGCAATCTTATTACAGTGACTTCTGAATATGGATATCACTGGATAAAAAAATTCTAAGATATTCTCTATAAAAGCAAATGTTCACTAATTGATTCGCTCTGCTCAGAACTGGGGATAAAGAGATATAGACCAACCATGTTGTCCAAGACTACACAACCTAATGGGTGAGACAAGGCATGAGAACAAATCCGGGGAAATTTCTGGGAGAAATTCAAGGAAGGAGAGAGTTCTCCTAGCATGAGAGAGAGGGACAAAGTAAAGAAGCTTTATGGAGGAACTGGCAGCTAAGTTGGGTCTAGAAGGAAGAGAGAGACTTCAGTAGACAGACATGAGCATGGGAAAGTCTACTTCAGGTAATGGAGAGAGAATGAGGAAAAACATGGTGATGGAAAAGGGCAGGCTGAAAAGAGGGATGGAAGGCTAGAATGCAGTAGTAGTAATAATAATAATTATTATATATACATACATACATACATATATATACATATATATAATATACATATATACATACATACATATATATACATATATATATGTGTATATATATATATATATACATATATATAGTTCTTTAAAGGTTTACCAAATACTTTATTCACAATGATCTTGTAAAGCACAGATGGGAAAGTATCATCATCACCATTTTAAGATTAGCAAACAATAAACCTAGAGACATTAAATGACTTGCTCTGGTCACAAACCAATAAGTACCAGAAATGGGATTTAAGCCAGTGTCTTTGGACTCCAAGTTTCACATTCTTTCTACTACATCATATGGCCTTTAATGTAAAGTAAATGAAGACAAATGAGATAAGGCTGGAAAGGCAATTTCAATTCAAGCTGTGGAGAGCCTTGAGCACCAGGAGAAGTATATATTTCACTTAGGAGCCTGTGAAGATTTTTGAGAAGGATGACATGATACCAGAGGTGCATTAGGAAAGTTATGTGGGCAGTGGCAACAAGGAAAGACCAGAAAAGGGGTTCGGGGGAGTCTATTACTGGGGGTAGATCAGTTAAGAAGAGTTATTATATTAAAACTGAATCAGATGCTTTTTTGAAATTAAAAAAAGGTAAAACCCACTGGGACCCACCTAACTCTACAATGATCTAGCCCACATCTCCCCATTTGGGCCATAAAAATACTCAAGGATAATTAAGAGATTTAGATCTGGGAGGCCATCTGTAAGATGAGGAAATGAAAATCTTAGCACATGTACCATGTGATAAAGGCAGGATTTGAACCCCACTCTTCCAATGCCAAATCCAATGCTCTCTCTGCTGTATCATACCATCAAGAGAGACTTTATCAAATACCTTCCTTATATTTAGGTGTATTATGTCTAAACAACATGGTAGAGTACATAGACAGCTGACCCCAGAGTCAGGAAGACGTGTTTAGTTTCTGTCTCTGACATATACTTCCTATGTGACCCTGGACAATTCAGTTGACCTCTCAGCATCCCAGGTTGAGATGTAAATTGCATAATAGTTAATGACCTGCATTGATAAAATTTCTTCATTGGCAACTCTCTATACCAATGAAAATACAGGTATAGACTCTCCCCTCCCTAAAATACTCTACTCTGTAAGCCTAAGGTATTTTTGTTCCTTTAGTCTATTGCCCTGTTGAAAAAGAAAATCAGATTAATTTTGCTTGTATTGTTCTTACTAAACCAGTGAGAGCTAGGACAGTGGTACATGACCGTGAGTGCTAAGCCTGGAATCGGTAAGACTTGTAATCAAATCTGTCCTCAGACACTTAATAGCTATGTGACCCTGGGCAAGTCACTGAACCTCTATTTGTCTTAGTTTCCTCAGTCATAAAATAGGGATAATAATGGCACCTATGTTGCAGGGTCATTAGAGGATCAAATGAAATAATATTTGTAAAAAAAGAAAAAAAAGTCCTTAGCACAGTGCCTGGCACGTCATAGGAGCTATTTAAATGCTTATTTGTTGTTATTCAATCGTTTCAGTTATGTCTGACTCTTCAGTACCCCGTTTTGGGGGGATTTTCTGGACAAAGATACTGGAGTGGCTTGCCATTTCCTTCTCCAGTTCATTTTACAGATGAGGAAACTGAGGCAAACAGGATTAAGTGATTTGCCCAAGGTACACAGCTAGTACATGTCTGAGACAGGATTTGAATTCACAAAGATGAGTCTTCCTGAGTCCAAACCCAGGGCTTTCTATTCACTGTACCACTTTGCTGCCCTTAAAAGCTTATTTCCTTCCCCTAAACCCATGCTAGATCCTAGTGATCGCTATTTTCCCCAAGTACTCACAAATCAACCATTTAATCATATTTCCTAAAATCTTGACAACTGGTTAAATGGTATGTAGTTTGTACATTATTCCCTTCTTTGAAATCAGAATATTTTCCTATTTCTGTAGCACCTCTCTCATTCTCCATTCTACATGATTCCTGAAATATCACCAATAGTTCAGTATATGTATCTATGACTTTTCAATATTTTGTCATATGAGCTGAATGCTCATTTAGGACAGCTGAGTATCAATATTTATCTTGAATTTTAATTGTATATTAATTATTTTTGGTTTATTCTTTCAGTCTGAAGATCATTCTTTTTGAAAAAAAAAGAAAAATAAAGAGGTGAGTGATGCTGCTTGATTTCATTCACTTAAAAATGCTCCATCTAGCCTAGACAGCAGGCTCATCATCCTTTTCTTTTTGCTTCAAACATAGCTAAAACTTTTTTTGTTGCCTGTAGCATTTTTTTTACAAGCCCAGCTCATTAAGAATGCCAACATTAAGAGTGCTGTTTTTACAGGTACAAATTACTATTTTGTATTCATCCGTTATATCATCTTCCATCTTTTGAACGTGTCTTTTGAAAGTCTGAAGCTCCCTATGTTACTACTTCAGTCTCTTATCAGACTTGCATAACTCATACCTTCAAATAATTATCCCAAAACTATTTCATACCCTCTGCTTTTTATTTTTATTTTTAAAATAAATTCTATCGATATATTTTGTCATTTATTGCACAGATTTCCCCCTGTATACTTTCATATCCCCCATTCCAAAGAGCCATCCTTTATAACAAAGAATTTTTTTTTTACTAAAAAGAAAATGAGGAAGAGAAAAAAAAATTAGCAAAACTAATCAACAAATTGGAAAAAAACTTACATGACATGCAATGTTCCACACCTGTGGACTCCACATCTGTAAAAAGGAGTGTATTGGGGAGGGGAAGTGTATGTCTTCTCCACTTCTTCTTTGAGGCCAAGCTTGTGTTTTATAATTTCATAATATAATTTTAAATTATTTTGTGTTTGTTGTTCTTTTGATTTACGTCACTGTACATTAGTGTATTGTTTCCTGGCTCTGCTTACTTTACTTTGCTTCCATTCACGTAAGTCTTCCCATGATTCTCTGCAGTCGCTATATACTTCATTTCTTAAAACACATGCATTCATGAACCACAATTTGTTTAGCCCGACTCCCCGCCACTCCTCTGATGTTGACTATTCCCATCTTTTGTCATCTTTGCCAATTGGTTAGATGTGAGGAGAATCCTCAGGTTTGTTTTTATTTACATTTATCTTCTTATTAGTAATGTGGAGCATTCTTTCATATGTTTTTTTTTAAATAGTTTGCAATTCTTTCAAGAATATTTGTTCAGCTCCTTTAACTGCTTACCTACTGGAGAGCTGCTTTTGGTTAGTTAGTTTTCTATTTATCTTGGATACTAAATCTTTATCTGAGAAATTTGTTACAAAGATTTTTTTTTCCCAGTCAACCATTTCCCTTTCTTATCCTAGATGCATTTTAATTTTGTTTGTGCAAAAGCTTTTCAATTTCATGTAATCAAAATTATCTATTTTATCTTTTGTAATTGCTGCTATCCCTTGTGTGGTTAAGAATTCATTTCCTACCCATAGCTGGGAAAGGCATACATAATCTGTTTTTCTTCTAACTTTTTGTGGTATGATCTTTTATATTCAGGTCACATATTCATTTTGAATTTGCTGTAGATTATGGTATAAGCCTAATTTTTGCCAGAATGCTTTCCAGTTTTCTCAGCAGTCCTTATCACATAGAGAGTTATTTCCTAAGTAATTTATGTTTCAGGTTTATTGAACACTCAAGTATTGAGTTCCATTATTTCTGATTTTCCCTTGTTTAGTCTGTTGCATTGATCTACGTTTTTTTTTTTTAACCAGTACCAAATGGTTTTGATGGTTGCTAATTTGAAATTATTTTGAGGTCTGGAAGAGCTAGTCCCCTATCATTCCTATATTTTTTCAATTTTCCCTTGGTATTCTAGCTCTTTTGTTGTTCCAAATGAATGTTGTTGTTATTTTATTGAACTCTGTAAAGTGTCCCTTTTGTAGTTTGATTGGTATAACATCAAACATATAAATTAATTTTGTCAGTATTGTAATTTTTATTA